GACATGCGTGTCCGTCAACCTTAAACAATAATCTTTGTCAATTTTATTTTTCAGTCTTTATGATGGTGGATACTTGATCTATCTTTTTATTGTTATATCCCCTGGGCAACGCCGGGCTCTACTGCTATATTTATATATATATATATATATATATATATATATATATATATATATATATATATATATATATATAGACATATATTAAAATTATATAAAATAAATTTTTTATTATTTATAAAAAAAATAATAAAATAATAATTTTTTTAAAATAGATTCTATAGAATTAAAAAACTGTTTTTTATAAAATTTGGATATATAATTAAAATTAAAAAATAAAAAAATGAAAAAAAAAGTTATATTAATAAATTTATATTTTTAACGGAATTTTTCGGTTCGGTATTATAATTTAAAAAATGAATTGAAACAATTTGTTTTGTGTGAATAATGTATTGTTCAACCTTTTATTTATCTTGTCTATATATATTATATTAGCGCAGAAGGATTCAAAGAAATTTTTATTATATAGGAAAATACAAAGAAATTTTTAAAAATAAAAAAATTTTTGGGTATATATGCAATTTCTAGGCTAGAATAATTTTTTATATGCCTTTACTCTTTCATATTAATAAAAGCCATCTCCTTTTATCAGGAACAAATAAAAAAAAAAAAAAAAATTAATGAATTTATTCAACATAAAAGACATTTTTAATTTAATAAAAAATAATTTTTTAGTTTTATAAAATTTGGAAATAAGAATTTTGAAATAATTTTAAAGAAAAAAAAAACAGCCTTTTTGATAGATTTAAAAATTCATTTTAATATTTAAACAAAAAATTTCCATAAAATTATACATTATAGTACTATTTGAACAACTTTTTTAAAAATAGAATTTTGAGGAAGTTTTTATTTTAATTTTAGAAAAATTAATATTTCAATTTAAAAAAAATCAAGACATTGGTTAACATATTTTCATGATAGTTTTAGATATTACTTTGGAAAATTGGAATTCATTTGGGAATAATAATAATTTTGAAAAATGTAAATTTTATCTTTTGATAAAATAGGAGGAAACTTATTTTTACAAATATTGAAAATATATGCATAAAAATTTAATAATTTTTATATGTTCATAAAATTAAAATTTGACGAAATATTGAATTTTGTCTGAAAAAAAAATTTTTTTTGGGGTTCAATTTTTTCATTCATCTCTAAAAGACGGCAAAAAAGAAATTAAAAAACAGAAAAGATTAAATTATTTCAATAAATATTTACAAATCTAAAAAAGGACAAACACCCAAAAGTGCCAGAACTCATTTCAAATGTTTTAGTTTAAAGAAAATGTGATTAAAAAAATTTTTCTAGAATTGCCAAATATTGCTTATAAAATGATTTTGCAACAACCAAGGTTAAAACAAAAATATGGCAATCTGTTTTGTTTATTCAGCAAATTTCATGGAAAACATAAATTTTTATTTTTTTTAACGTTTTTTAAGGGTATATTTTGTTAACAGTGAAGGAAAAGTATTTAATAAAATTTTATAAAACAAATTTAAAAATAATTGAGTTTTAAATTGTTCAATTGAACTATGGATTCACTAAACATTATTATTTTAGTATTATCTTAAATTTATTATTTTTAAAAAATTTATTAAATAAAAAAAGGATTTAATGAATTTCTTCACACAAAAAATGATAAAAAAAAAGGATTAAATATAATAAAACAAATTTTTAGGAAAAAAATAAGATTTTGATTTGGAACAAAACGAAAGTGACAGTTATTGAAAAAAGGGCAGAATAAATGTTTAGAAAATTTTATAAAAATTTTAATAATTTAATAAAATATATAAAAGGAAATTTTTTGTATTTTAACATTCCTTTTTCTTTTTATAAAAGTAAATATATTTTATATTAAACAAATTTAAAACAATTTGATTTATTTTATATGTAAATTTACAAAATAAGTATAAATTAATTATCATTATAAATATAAAAAGATAAATATAAAATGGAAAAGAATATTGAAAGAAAAATTATTAAAAATTTGGTATTAATCAGACGATTCCTGATAATTTAATTTCAACATTTAATTTAGAGAAAAATACCATCAATTATATTTATTATACCACAACTAAAGTTCTCTTAAAATTTTATTTTTCATCTATCCAAAAATAAATAATAATGAAATCATTTTGCAGTCCCTTCTGAATTTCTGGAAAATCTGTTTTTTCAACAAATATATTTCCTATTCCAATTGTAAAAAAAAATGTTCATAAATTTGGACCACTTTTTAAAAAAGAAAACAATTTAATATTTTTTTTAAAATTTGCTTTAATTTTGGGATATATTTAAATGATTTGAAAATAAAAAGGTCATTTTTGAAAATGTAAAAAATTCTCTATAAGATCCCAAATTCATGAAAATTTGGGATCTATTAAAGTTATGTTTTTTTTTGTTTATTATTTCTTTCCTTGAAAAATGATAAATTTTTTAAAAAGTATTTGAATAGGAATATAATAAATTAAATTAATTTTCAAATTTATAAATTAAAAATATCAAATATACTTATTGAAAAATAGGAAGAAATTCACTTAAAAACTTAACTGACATTCTCTGTTTTATTTTAAAGAACATGTTTAAACAAAGGATTGTTACCTGAATATACTATGTCTAAATATTTATATCTGCATTTTTTTCAAAAAATCAAAATTTGATTTTGACAAAAGTGAATGCAATATTTCTTGAAATATATTCTACAGGGAAGAAAAAACAAACGATTTAATAACAACAACTCGAATCAATTAAATGTATATTTATATTTATTATGTTGGAAATAATTCAGCATTCCATTAAACATTAAAAATAATATAATTGAAATTTATAAATTTTTCAGAAAACGTTTTTTTAATTTTATTTTTTAACATGTAGTTGAAAGATTATATTGAATTTTTTTTGATCCATATTTTTTTGGCTCACTGTTTTGTGCTAAACAATTTTTCTTTTCAGAATCTGTTCTTACAATTTTATAAATCATAATATTCATATAAGATTTGAATATTGTTGTCAAATTTGGTCATAGAAACAAAAATATAAATACTAAAATTTTTGATAAAAATCTAAAATGAAAATCTGCAATGTTATTGGACGTGACATAAAAATAAAAGTTCTTTGATTTACCAAAAAAAAACCAGAAATCTTTTCTAAAAAAAATTGTCAAACCAATGGTAATAAATTTAGAAATTTATGAAACTTTAAAAAATTAAATAGATTTTGTTTTAATTGAGGTTAATTAATTGACAGAAAAATAAATTCATCTTACAAAAAGTTGAAGAGGCAGATGTAAAATTTGAATTAAAGAATAAAAAAAACTAAACCTCTGAATTGTGGCAAAAAGTCTTGTGCAAAAATTTCTGAATTTAAATGTCTTAAAATTTAAATAATCATCAATTGTTATTATATTCTTAAATAATTTTTATTTATATTTAAAATTAAAGATAGATCTGTTAAAAAGGACAAAAGATGATGATTTAAATTCATTTTAATTCAGTTTTTTTGAAATTATATTTAAAGAAAAAAAAACCATAAATGATAAAAAAAAAATCTCTATTAAAACAATTTTTCAGGAAAAACAGGTTTCAAAAATTCATGTCCAAATTTTTTTTTGAAAAACTGTAGAAAAATTGACAAAGATTTGGTTTCTTTTTTCTTTTGTAAAAAAAATAAATGAGAAAGAAAATTAATCTTGAAAATGTCATTATTCTATGAGCCATCCATAATATTAAATTTTGCTTATTTGACAGGAAAAGTATAATTGACTGAGGGCATTTAATTAAATGGTATAGTGATTTTGTTTCAATTTTACAGAACAATTCCCAATATATATACAATGTAAAAAAAAAGAATAGTTTTTATTAAGACCTATATCTTAAATTGTTTGAAAAACCAGAATTAAAGCATCGACCTGAAAAAACAATTTGTATACAACCAACAAATATATTTCTTCCTGGGTTTGTTTCATGCATATTATTTATTGACAAACTGTCATTGATGAAATGACACAAACCAATTAAAGAACAGGACTTTAGTTTTTAGATTAAATTTTGGTTAATAAAAACATTTAAAACGAATTTAAAAAAATATTTTAATGCAGACATATTTGTCTTTCAACTTAATAGATATTAATAATTAGAAAAAAACAAAACAAAAAGAAATTCCAGGCTTAAATTGCACTTCACTGAAACACACATACACTAATACATATATGTACATGCACACACAGACTTAGCTGTACATACATATACATACATACATACATGTATGCACACACACACACACACACACACATATTTTTTTATTTTTTTAATCATTTCTCTCCAAGCAAGGAGATAGTGTCACTAAGATGCAAGGGATTACTGGAGGTGGAAGAGAATGAGAAAACTTTAGTGGGAATAAAGCACAATAAAAGAACAAGATTCAGGAAGATGAAAGATGGCGATTGATGTTGCATTTAAATTTTTGAAGATTGTAAGTGACAGGGAAGTAAGACACCAGAAAATATCCACAGGCAAGAAGTACAAGAAAAGAAATTATTAAAATAGAACTTACGGGTACATCTGGTTATTTCAACAGTAAAGCAATGAGTCTTAGTTTTCAATTTAGTAGTACACTTAAATCAAGGTACCAAAGAGGAGAGCTCATTAGAACAAAAATACCCTGAAAATATTTATAGAAAAGACAGAGAGGAACCATGTCACGTCAGTGGGGAAAGTGACTAAAGTTGAGATGCCAGGTTAGGACTGATAAAATTTCAGATCTTTCTTTGGGTTTTATCAAGCATCTTGAGATATATAATCGGAGCACCAGACTAGATATGGCGGCAATATTCAATGAACAGACAAATAGTAGATTTTTGAATGTACAAAATGGATTCTGTCAAGAAAAATTATCATGTTGTAATCATAAAATAATTCTCTTTTTTTTTTCTTCTTCTTCTTTCATTTCAGTTCAAAGTGAAAGTCCTAAGAAATTCCAGAAAACAGCATCTTCATAAAAATTAGGTTTCAACACTTTGCTCTTTTCACTTCGGATACATGGAAAATCACTGCCAGTGATAATAGTAACAATGAAAACAAAATGCATGTGTCATTGTGCTCGCAATACTAAAAAGAGATAGCATGTAAGACATCAAGTTAAACATGTCAGTATCAGTTGATCACAGTCAATGACATATTTATTTTGACTTTAACACTCATTGATCAATTTCTGCGTCCATTTAATATTTACTTGTGGTCATAACTAATACCAGTTATTTCTCCTTGTCTGCTCTGTTAGAATCAAAGTGAGTAAAATTAAGTGTTACTACAAGAACAAAAAAAAAACAAAAAAAAAATTATTGTTATGTCACATCATGAAAATCCCTGGATCATATTTTCTGTAGTTTTCCAACTTATAAATGGCTTGGATGCTTTTGTTTTTAAACCTGCTGCTTGCTTCTTCATAACGTCTTTCTTCATTTTGAGTCTTATAATTCATTGTGACAAATTTATCAGATAAATTTGCAGCATTTCACAGAAGCCGGTCTATACTGAATAAAAAAGAAAAATTAATGAATTCATTATTATAAATAGATTATTGCAAAATAAATCCATATAAACAAATTTAAAAAACAAATAAACCCCAAAAATCTCACACATGCACAAATAATATTCTATAGAATGAATGAAAATGAGATAAAACTTGAAAATTTCCTCTTATTGCTCAATTTGATGCCAAAAATGGAAATCGGTTTTAAGAAATGATAAAATCACTGACCTTATATAAACTTCAAGTGATGTGAAAAAATTTGTATCAGATGATCAACAGAAAATGAATTCGTGTATATGATTGTCTTTTTACATCCTCCTAGAAAAAGTCATTTTATCTTTGGAATAATTCAAATTTTGGCCTCAATACATAATTGTGGTAATTTGCATAGATCACGTTATAGAAGTTCATTTTCTTCAATTAAATTTACAAAATCTTGAATAATAAACTTTATTTCTAATATCAGTTCAAAGTAAAGTGCAATAAATAGTGCCCAAAATTTATTCTGATATAACTTTATCATTTAGTATGAGCAAAAGATCTGTAAAATCACTTGGCACTTATTTTTCTTGCATGACAATATATAAACATAATTTAAAATTAATATTCTTTAAGTCTGTTGGATTTCATTGTTTAAGTCAGAGTATGTTTTGTCAATTTAGTACTGCTAAATAATGTATATGTATATGTGTGAGGTGCTGCCCAAAGGTTTGTGTAATTTAACCATAAAATTTTTTTTTTCAGTTGATTTCCATTGTTTTTGTTTTTTTTTAAAAAAAATAATCTCTTTATAAACTGCAAACCCAATAATTATTTCCAAGGTTCCATGCATTGTTGGAAGGCCAAAAATCTGAGCTATACTTGGTTTGCATACCCTATTTAAATTTCTCAAACCTTTCAATAGCATCTCATTTTTAATAATATATAAATTTGATCTCATTTTATTTCCAAATAATAAATTTTGCCTCAAGTTGCTTTGACATTTTAAATGACAAGTTCAACACTATGGTTGCTAAATCATCAACGTCTGTTTACCAAATGTTTCTGGTTTTTAAAATCATCCCCACAACATTAGTGCTTTAAGATTGAAGTGAGTACACATTGATGTATTAAAAAAACAAACTACCTTTTATTTATTTATTTATTTATTTTTTTTTTTTTTTTAAGAAAATATTCTTGACTTGCTTTTGACCTTTATATTTGAAAATTACCTAATGTCTAGGTTTTGGAACATTAACAACTGTTAAAGATATTTACAACTTTCTAAAAATAGACATTCATAACACATCTCGACTTGTAATAACAGAATCCTTGAGATCAACAATTTTTCATTGGATAGAAAGTTGGTGGTAAGTTTGATACTTAGATTAAACAAACCTCTTTATTGAATGAACTAAAAAAATAAAATGGTCATTAAATTATTTTATAAATACTAAATAAGTTTTTATTTAACCTGCGTGATTTGTTGTTCACTTTTAATTCCTGATTGATATTGGTTTATATTTCTCTATTTCATTGTCACCAAAGCTCAGGTCTCATTTAATAAATTTTAAAAGATTCAATGAATTATTTTTGATATACTGAAAATAAAAGAAACAAAATTTTTATTAAATGTTCACCTTTTTTTTTCCAGAGTATATATTACGCAAACACATACATAAAGTTCTTGACCCATTCAGAAACCATTCCAAGAACTTTACAGTATCTTATATGTATATAAGCAGTGTGAACATAGGTATCAACATTGAATAGCAAAAGTCTGTTTCATGATTAAATGTAATCATCATGGTGTTTATGCTTGAAACAGACTGTTTCCATTAAGTGATGATACCTTTGTTCACACTGCTCATATTGACATATGCTGTGTCTCTGATATTGAACACTTTTCTTCCATAATTCTAAGATATATAAAAAGTGTATATATATATATATATATATATATATATATATAATTATGGGGGTAGTAAATGACCATATAAAATCCATATATATATATATATATATATATATAGACAAGACTGAACAGATAAATCTCCAGACTTACACAGCTATTAACTGAAATTTGATCTGAATTTTTCATTGTATATTGTTCAGTCTCTGTGTAACAGAGAGATATTATGTTAAATATATTGACAAGCAAGAGAATTATGTTGAAAAATAAATAATTGTTGTGTAAAACGTTTTTGTTTTATAAATTTGTTGATATACATGTGTGTTTGTGTAAGTGTTCAATTCCTTTTGCAAAAGTAATTCAGTAAAATTAGGAACATATTTTTTGATGCCTGAGAAAAGCACTTTGCATAATTACTTTTGTGACATTTCAGTAAAAACGGATTCAACACCTTACAATTAAGTCATATTCAGAAAAACATCCCATAGACAATTTCCAAAAGGCTCTCAGCTGTGTAAACTTTTGCTAACAATTCTCAATGGGAAATAGTTGTCTCTCAAATAACATTCTCTTCAACACAATTCAAAATGTTTATATATATTGGTGGACACCAAGGGCAATACTGAGCTGTGACAGTCTTTTTAATGCTTGAACATAATCTTCAGGACATATATATATATATATATATATACACACACATACAGAAATACATATAGGGTGTATCAAAAATACGTTTACAAACTTTAGGGGCAGGTTCCTTGCACCAAAACAAGTACAAAAGTCCTTATAAACATATGTCTGCAAATCCTTCGTTTTTAAGTTATTTAAAGAAAGTTTACGATAGATGTTGCTGTGCTGCCATATAGATTAGGTTACATTTGTCATTCGTGTACATTTGTGGCTAGTCTGTCTTCAACGTTTAATGTGTGTACTAGTGAGTTAGCTGAGAAGTGTTCCGTTTAGCAATGGCGGGATATATCGTGAGCGGGCAGATATGATTTTTTACATACACCTGTGCGAATGGTAATGAACATGAGGCTGCACGGCTATATCAGATTGTGTTTCGAGACCAAAGGTATCAGTCATCCAACCTTTTATCCTTGTTTTGGTGTGAGAAACCCACCCGCAAGGTTTGTAAATGTATTTTTGATGCACCCTGAATAAGAATGATTGGACATAAGGTAAGAAGAATAGAAGTCGCATACAAGATAAGGTATTCTTATTTCAATTCATTAGATTACCTTCAACAGTGTAAATTGCTCAGTGAATATATCCCTGTTTGCATTTATATATGTGTTCCCTGGTCAAATATACATCATCATTAGACACTGTGTATTTAGTTGGTCATGTGATTCTCATTGTTTTGTGTTTTTGTATCACAGTATGTTAACAAATATGAGAGATATACCATTTGACCATAATTTTTTGGTCAAGCCATTCTGTTGACCTAACCTAAACTCTGTAATTTTATTTACTATTTATTTTTTATTTTTATAATTAATTTTTTTCCCCTCAGTTGGAATAAGACATAGATAGGTTCGACTATCGCCCGGTTCCCACTCCACTTTTATCTTTTGAACAGGAGTAAAGGTTTATCTGTTATATCATATTTAGGGTTGAGTTTCCAGTTCCTTTTTAAGTCTACTTCAACTCTATACTTTTAACATCTTCGGCTGGACTCTGAACTTCTATTTACTAATTATTAATTTATTTATTGTTCTCCTCAGTAGAAACAGATAGGGTCGTCTATCATCCGGTTCACACTCTTCCCGATCATTTGAACAGGAATAGAGGTTTATCCGTTATTTCGTATTTAGGATTGAGTTTCCAGTTCCTTCTTAAGTCTACTTTAACTCTATAATTTTAAAGCTTTTTCATTCTTTTTCGATCACAGTAGCCCCTTGTATTTTAGTAGCATTATCTCCTTGCTTAGGGTGAATTATATAAAACTGCTCACACACACACACACACACACATATATATATATATATATATATATATATATATATATATATGAGAGAGTAAATAAAATATGTGTGCGTGTGGGTTAATTATCTACATTGAATGGATTCTAAAAGTTTCCTGATCGAAAATATTTCTCAAAGAAGCTTTTAAAATTGTTTGTTCTCTCGTATTCACTCACTACACACACAGGCACGGATGAGCAAAAGAGAAGATTGCAATTTATTTTAGCGTTTCCGGCCGCTGATAATGTATCTTAACGTTACATACAGATGTTTGTTGAACTAACCAAACTTTGGCTTAAGTCCGTCTTCACGGAACACACAGATAGAGAAACGAACTCTCTATAAATACTTTAAGTTTATCAAAACTAGCATTCACTCGAGCGATACACCAAAATCTAATTGAGGCAATCTGAAATTTGGTGATTAAAGCTGACAACCGGTAAGACAAGTGATGTCAATTTTTCGGCAAAACTAATCAGAAGCACTCTGTCTAATTGGTAAATATAAAAACATCGGGATTGGATTAAAATGACAAATAGTCAACTGTGACTTTGATTCTACTAAATTGGCTTTCTTCATCAAATCTCGTTTAGATTTTATTTGAAAACA